GCTCGATATTTGCCTTTAATTTGATCAAAGTTCAATTATTTTATATCTATTTATTCCGTACAATCTTTCTTTTTCTGCTTCTTATCATTTTTAGTAATACCATTCGCAATTATTGGTACATGTAATCACTTGTTTTGCCTGGATTCAACTGAGATATGTTGATTGTAACTTATATCGCATACACTATAAGAAGATACCAAAGAACATTGAACATGTACTCTTTTATTAGTTCTAAAGCTTTCTCGCGAAATCATATCTAACGAAATTATAGAAATCGGCGTTTGGCTTTTACAAAAACTTAATGGTCGCGTGAGTTTAACGCAGACATTTTTTCGCCAAGTCGAGCCGAAAGGTCATCAGCGAAACGTAAAATGAAGACATTAAAAGTTTTATGGACGTACCGAATAATGGGTTTCATTGACAGAGGTGTCGAAAGTGGCGCTCCCTTCTTCCTCGGCGACTATAGCGGCCACTTTTAAAGCTAATGCCAATTCACAACCGATAAATTGCTCATTTCATTTAAGAGAGACGTTAAGTCTTTTCTCTTTGACCAATCGATTTCTCGAGGCAACTTGTTTTTTAATTACCGACATGATTGGTGTCAGGGAGGTAGATGTTCATAAGCAAATTTAGAAATTGTTCTAAACGTGAATATTCTTATTTATTTGCCACACATTTACGTCGCTTTGAATATGCAGTGTTCAGCTTCCTTCTCTTCACATCGAACTCGTCATTGTTCTCTTAGTGTCTGTGAGAAATCCTCCTCCTCCTAAGTGCCTTCTCTATTGAGGTTGGCGATCAATATGGCAAATTTTTCTCTGTTCTGGGCTTGATGGATTAAGTCATTTCCTGTTGTGTGAGTCCAATCTTTGTTGTTTCGGAGCCAGGATTTCTTCTTTCTTCCTATACCCTTTTTACCCTCGATTTTGCCTTCTAATATTACCTGGAGCTGCTCAAATTCCTTATGGCGCATTATGTGCCCTAGATATTGTTCATTATTTCTAGTACCTCTTCATTTGTAGTTTTGCTGGTCCAGCTTATTCTTAGCATTCGGCGGTACATCCACATTTCGAATGAATTCAGTTTGTTGACGTCATACTGTTTTAATGTCCAGGTCCCACAGCCATATAGTAGTAGAGACCACACATAACACTTTAGTGTTCTTTACCTTATTGTGATTGATAGCTTGGGGTTACAGAGCATTTTACGCATGTTCATGAAGCCAGATCTTGCTATTTCAATACGTCTTCTAATTTCTTTTGAGTGAAATACCAAGTAATTATTCTGAACAAAAATTTATTTATTTTATATATGTTTTATATTTATGTGCAACATTGATGTTGGACATAAATCTTCAAAAATATGGTAAGAAAATATTTTACACAAGTCGTATGTTGGTTATAAAATAATTTGTAAAGACTGCAGCTCAACGTATATAGGGCAAACACATCAATATCTACATAGGAGAATTGTTGCGCATAAATATAGTGTACAAACCAACAAATTAAACATTACAGCCATATCTAAGCTTTCTCTAGAAAATAGCTGTTCTTTTGATTTGAAAATGTATAGATTTTGGAAAAAGAGCAGAACCACAAAACAATTGGAGATGATTCACATAAGAAAAATGAAGATCTATCAATAGTACAACCGAAAAAAATAATGTCTCTAATATATTACATCTTCTTCTTCTTCTTCAAGTGCCATCTTCGTTCCGAAGGTTGGCGATCATCAGGGCTATACGTATTTTCGAAACTGCTGACCAAAACAATTCTTTGTTGCTACAGCTATAACATTCCCGTTGATTCTTTAGCCAGGAGTTTCGTCTTTTTCCTATGGACCTTTTTATTGCTATTTTCTGTTGCAAAATTATTCGAAGCAGTTCATATCTTTCGCCTCTTGTAATGTGTCCCAAATATTGCAGTTTTCGTTTTTTGATCGTAAATATGACTTCCTTTTCTTAACTCATTCTTCTCAAGACCTCGACATTTGTGACTCTCTCGGTCCGTGATATTCTCAGAATTCTGCGATACATCCACAGTTCAAATGCCTCTAATTTTTTGGTATCAATCTTTTTCAACGTCCATGACTCCATTACGTAGAACAGCACAGAAAGTACGTAAAATCTCATCAGGCGAAATTTCATTTCAAGGCTCAAATCTGTGGACATTTTTGTGTTGAGTTTGGACATTTTGTGTTGATTTCGATATTACCATAAATTTAGTTTTCTTTATGTTCAAAGATAGTCCATATTCTTCGCTGCAGTCTGCTATCTTATTCAACAATGTCTGTAGCTCTTTAATTGTTTCTGCGATCTGAACGGTGTCGTTGGCAAATCTCAGATTGTTTAGTCTAACACCATTTATTTTAGTACCTACGCATTGCTCAGAGAGTGTTTTATTCCTTACGTCTTCAGAATAGAGATTAAACAGGGTTGGTGACAGTATACACCCTTGTCTCACACCTCGCTTTATTTCAATTTCTTCAGTGGTATTATTCTCTACTCTCACTACTGCTTTCTGATTGTAGTATATATTTGCTATTAGTCGGATGTCTCGTTTATCTAAATTCTTTTCTCTCAGGAGTCTGGTTAGGTGATCATGCCGCACTTTATCAAAGGCCTTGTTGTAATCTATGAAACACATGAATACTTTTTGATTTATGTCAAGACATCTTTGAGACATAACGTTCAGTGCAAACAACGCCTCTCTTGTTTCGAGTCCATTTCGGAATCCAAACTGGGTTTTATTGATGTCCATTTTCAGTTTTCTGTGCACTAAAAAATGACGGTGAGTGGCCACAGTTCTTAGTTACTTCTTACTATTTCTTTATTTCCTTTCTACACGCTTCAAGCAACTTTTTTCGTTTTCCACACTTCCTCTTCTCTTTTCTGCAGGGAGTCATCTATTCATCTTCCGAGCTCTTCTCACCACATGCCCTAAATATCTTTAGTCTTTTCGCTCCAATAATCTGGCTAATTTCAGTTTTCCCTTACAGTTCTCTAATTTCCGGATTTTTTTTCCTCCAAAGGTTTCCTTCATTTTAATCCTCCAAAATTTTTTTTTAATATTTTACTTCTAGATACTCTATATAAACTGTATAGAATAACTTCATATTGGTAACATTGGATACCTTTTTACTTTCAATAATTTATGCAGAACTCCAATGGTCCTACCTCCTCCTAGAATCCGCTGTTCAATTTGTAGGTTTTCTTTTTCTTTGTTTGGTAAATTAATCCTTAGGTACTCGAAATGATGTTTCCTTCTTGAAACACTATTTTCACCTGAGTTCAGTTGCGTGTCTTCTTTTGTGTCATGTCCCATTTCCATATACTTTGTTTTCTACTCGTTTATCAGCAATTCATACCACTGAGCCTTTTATTCTTCTTCTTCGGGTTCCTTCTCCTAGCGGAGGTTGGAAATCATCATCGCTATTTTAACTTTGTTGGCCGCATTTCTGAATAATTCTAATGAGCTGCAGCCGAACCACTCTCTCAAATTTCTTAGCCAGGACATTTTGCGTCGTCCTGGGTTTTCTCTTCCCTTGTATCTTCCCTTGCATAATCAACCTCAGTAATATGTACTTCTCACCCCTCATTAAATGTCCCAGATATTGAATCTTTCTAATTTTAACAGTTTTTATGACTTCACATTCTTTCTTCATTCTTTGTAACACCTCTATATTAGTTACTTTTTCAATCCACGATATTTTATGCATTCTCCTGTAGCACCACATCTCAAAGGAGTTTAATTTTTTTCATTTCAGATTGCTTTATTGTCCACGCTTTCATGCCATATAGTAAAGTAGAGAAGACGTAACAACGTAGCATTCTTGTGCGAATCTCTAGATTAAGGTTACGGTTGCAAAGTAATTTCTTCAATTTTATGAACGTGTTTCTTGCCATTTCTATTCTAGATCTGATCTCCTTTACTTGATCTCCATCTTCGGTTAGCCACGTTCCTAAATATTTATATGTTTTTACTCTTTCTATCGTTGTATTATTGATGATCAGGTTATTTACATTTTGTGGTTTTTTTGAGAATATCATTGATTTCGTTTTCTTGAGATTCATTTGCAGTCCGTAACTTTCACATGCATTGTATACATGTTGTATTATGTACTGTAGATATTCCATGTCACTTGCAAATATGACAGTATCGTCGGCATATCTAATATTATTAACGCTATTTCCGTTGACATAAATACCTTCCACGATATCCAATAAAGCCTTTTATTCAATTACCTTGAATATACAAAACTACATCTTCGTAAAAATTTAATTGAATTTTGACAGTGTGCCAGTTTCTTGTATAGAATTTCCAATCTCCTAAAATTTTGAATAACGCTGGGCCCATAACGGTTTCTTAATATTGTTCTGAAGCTATTTTCTTGTGGCATTGTAAATTAATTACTATTTAACTGGGAATAAGCCACAATTAAAGACAAAAATACGTTTATTGACGTTTCAATTTCCACTTCGGAAATCGTTCTCAAAATACCTTGAATATCTTCAGTAATTGTTTTTTCGTTCTCGCTATTAGCACTACATCGTGGCACAAAGATAAGAACCTGGTCTCTGTTACAGATAGTTCCGTTTCTTCGTATTCCGCTTTCCCTTATTACTGTCCCCGACAAGGAATTAATAAGTTTATTTGACAACGGATCCATGTTTCAATCCTTTTTTATTTCAAAATTTTCTGCCAGAGTAACTCTATTGTTGGTCCTCAATAGCTGTCATCTTAACTAATCTAATCAACTTCTCTAGAATTTCGAGTACTAAAGAAGACGTTCAGGCTTAGTTGTTGTACAATTATCACTCATATCTACATTTTAAGTGCTTTTCCATACTCAACCCTAGAATGGTACACAGGCAACAGTCAGCACGTTCCTAGAAAGTGGAGGCTTAGATTCTCAGCACCTTCACCTCTTTTAGTTTCAAATCAACTGTAACCATAACTGTCTATCGGGCGTTTATAGCTATTGTAAAACATGGTGTCCAGGGCGGTGTCACATACGATACCACAGTACAATTCCCGTTATAATTTTGAATATGGAAGTAAATGGCTTTTAAAAAGCAAAGCGTTGACTCAGGAAGAGTTAGAAGAAATTGTGCATGCTTATGAGGCTGGTAAGAGTGATCAAGATGTCCCTTTAAATAATACAGAATCTGAATGTTTGAATGAGGATGAAGACGAAGAACTTGGTGAAAGTGAATATTCTACCTTGTTAGCAGAACCAAAGGTTAGTGAAGACGAGACTGAAGACTCATAGAAAGATAGCGATCAAAAAAGAAAAGTAGTATTTGGAAAACATTGTTTTAAAGTGGTATAAAAACTCCGGTTTTCCCAAAGACTATTCGCACAATTGAAAAAAAATATAGTGCTTTATCTACCAGATCCAAAGGCTCACGCTTCAAATAAACCAGAAGAGATTCTGATTTGGAAACTATTTTTCGGCGATTTAATATAACTCAATTACTATTTAACTGGGAATAAGCCACAATTAAAGATAAAAATACGTTTATTGACGTTTCAATTTCCACTTCGGAAATCGTTCTCAAAATACAAACAAAAATTTACTGTTTGTATTTTGAGAATGATTTCCGAAGTGGAAATTGAAACGTCAATAAACGTATTTTTATCTTTAATTGTGGCTTATTTCCAGTTAAATAGTAATTAATTTAAAATGCCACAAGAAAATAGCTTCAGAACAATATTCTTCTTCTTCTCGTGCCACTCCTAGCGGAGATTGGAAATCATCATGGCCACTGCTACTTTGTTAGCAGCGCGCCTAAAAAGTTCATTCGAACTACACCCGAACCATTCACGTAGCTTACGAAGCCACGATATTTTTTTCTTCCCACACTTCTTTTGTCCTTAATTTTGTCCTGCATGATGTTTCTTAAAAGTTCGTACTTTTCACCTCTCACAATGTGCCCCAAGTATTCCATCTTTCTAGTTTTTATCTCATTTAGAATTTCGCATCTTTTGTCTAAAGTTTGGAGTACTTGCGTGTTAGTGACGCGGTCCATCCATGATATTCTGAGAATGCGCCTATAGCACCACATCTCGAAAGCTTCGATGTTTTTTATGGTCAACTGTTTTAGTGTCCAAGCCTCAACTCCATATAACAGGGTAGAAAAGACATAACACCGCAGCATTCGTATTCGTAACTTTATATTGATATAACGATTGCAAAAGAGTTTGCGCATTCTATTAAAGACTGATCTAGCGATTTCTATTCTACATCTAATCTCTTTTGTTTGATCAGTATCGTCTGTGATCCAAGCACCTAGATATTTATAACAGGGCACACGCTCAATCGTTGTATTGTCTATTACAAGATTAGCTCTGATGTTCTTTGATTTCGTGATTACCATAAATTTAGTTTTTTTTTTCAAATTAATTTTCAAGCCGTAACTGTTACAGTATATATTGAGTCTTTGAACGAGATGTTGTAGTTCTACTAGCGTTCCCGTTAGAAGAACTGTATCGTGAGCATACCTTATATTGTTGATATTCTCACCATTTATTATCAGACCAAGATCTTCTTCCTTAAGTGCTTGTTCACAGATAGCTTTACTATGCAGATTAAATAAAAGTGGCGATAAGATACATCCCTGCCAGACTCCTCGACGGATTTGAATTTCTTCTGTTAGTCTGCCCTCAACCTTGACATTTGCTGTTTGATTCCAATATAGATTGCATATAATTCGACTATCTCGGCTGTCTATATTTTTCTTTATTAGAACTTGTCTTAGTGGTTCATGTTGTACTTTGTCAAAGGCCTTTTCGAAATCAATAACGCAGGCGTAAATTTCTTGGTTCATGTCTAAGCATCTCTGTGAGAAAACGTTCATTGCAAACAGAGCCTCCTTTGTACCCGGGCTCTCTGTGAAAGTATATTTAGTGAAAGTGAGAATAGAGCCTTATCTAGTCCATTGCTGAAGAGTCAAATCAGGTGACAAATTGGGAATTAGAACCGACAGAGATACGAAAACAAAAGAAAATCCTTTGTTATGCAGACAACTGAATTCAGATAATGGAAATGATATACAGCAAATGGTACTTATCATTTAAAACACCGGTTGAAATGTCTAATAGGAAGACATCAACAACTTAAGCAAAATCTTTAGTGTTGGCAAAGAACCAAAACGATAAGAAATTGTAATTGAACACAAAATAATCGAACAAGTCTTAAATTTAGAATGTCTGTATTGTTCTGAAGCTATTTTTGAACAGGCTTATAGTTTGATATCAGAACAAGAAGAATAATTCCTCTAAACCTAACAACTTACTAGAAAAAATCATTAAAAATCTCCTCTCATTGTTCGTAGATAATCGTAGAATGTTTTCTCATGTAACACCCATCTATGTATATACCGTGTTTTTTCACGTCTATTGTATATAATTAGCTTAATTAAGTCGGCACAATTACTGATGAAGTTGTATCAGAATGAAATTTGTATTCAAAGACACTAAAGCCGCCGTAGTAATAATACCTAAATGCCTAAAGTTGGGAAAAACGTTGAGCGCTCGACACAAAAGGATATTCTGGTATGAAATAGGAGATTTTGGGATTATATAAAAATATCGTTGTTAATTATTCTGTCTTAATTACTTAATTAACGGCAAGGCTTTCCTTGCAGATCCGGACTAGAGCTGAAACGGAGAAATTGCAAACCACTTTTAAACGAAGCTGTCATTTATTATTTTTATTTTCTAATAGGAACTTGGTTTATTTACAAATTATTTAATTTTACTTATATTTTGACTGTTTTATAGGCAGATAGGGTAGAGTTGCCAATATTATACCAGTGTACATATTTCGAATTTTAGTTTGAATAATATACGTCATATTTACATATAAGGTAAATTTTTATAAGTAAGGTATGTGTTAACTTGTTTCGGGTGAGGTTGATTTATTTTTTTAGGTACATATTAGAGGATGACTCAGACGATGTAGGTGTTGCGATTCAGCAATTGTAGTGCTAACTGAAGAAGTGGTCAAATGTATAGATGTATTTTGTAATGAGCATTGTTAGGTTTCGTTTATTGATAAATTTGGAATTTCTACTGTTTGTAATGTGATTTGAGAAGACTTAGTAAGTACGGAGGGAGTGGTATTTGAGATTGTGGGAGTATTTTGTAGTTGTATTATCTTGTTGAGAATGATTTATTGATGAATTTTGTCTCATTTCTGTTTGCATTGCACTGTCATTGTGAGGAAGGTTAAAAGGTGAAATAAAATCCACAAGGAAAAATTCCTGTAGCTGGCTGTATACCACGTATAACAAAAAGAGGTTAATCTTTGTAAATGGGTATATTTATTTAAAAAACCCTTAAAAGGGCCACATCATAGAACAAACGTTTTCGGACTAAACAGTCCATCATCAGGTTATTAAAATCGAAAATGCTAGGTCATAATGCCTGAGCCACCAAAATATTAGGGTAAAAACCCTTTAAATTACATTTAGTTATGAAATGTTGTACATTGTGTTATAAAATAACTGTGATGTTCTATATTAAATTAAATTTGACCAAAGGTAACACATGGCTCAAATGGGTTCCAGAGCCGGGTGAGAGACAACCTCTGCACTCGGAGAACAACGTGGAACTGAACGCGGAGAAAAGGTGAAATATTTGGACAAGTAGCAGCCTGTGTCCAGTTAATTTGCATTTAAAACACGTGTTTTGGGCTATAAATATGCGGTATGATGTTTGTTCCAATTTGATGATAAAAGATTCAGGTTGTACAAAGTTGTCTACAAAAGGTGAAAAAATTTGTCTTCGGAAGCTTAGAATACGACTGAAGGCAAGATTGTTTGCTTCTATCCGTAGGTATGATATGTCTGAGAGAGTCTGTAAACCTAGTTTTATTAATTCGTCCATTATTAAGTATGCTTGGACATGCATTGGACAGAATTGACGGAGTTATTAATCTTCTCGCTTCTAGTATATTTTCATTTACTAGTATCTTCTTAGTTTCTGTTATGAATTTATCTACTAGGTTTTAAGATGTCTACCTAAAATTATATTTTTTGCTTTTATATGCTGACTCAATCCTTCAAGATAGTCATTAATTGTACAATTCTCTAGAGTGTTAAATAGTGTTAAGTTAAGTTAGTGTTATAGTGTATTTTTATGTATGAGAGAGTAATAAAACAATAAATTATGTATGCAAATCCCTAAACTGTTGATACGGGTGACTCAATGAAAAACAGATATTTGTCAACAAGTTTACAGAAGTATATAGGAAAACAATTTTAAATTGAGTATGACCACCAGGTATAAAGGTTGGAGAAGAATAGAATACAATACTTGTGAGGGTTACTAATCCCTAAATAAGGTTGCCAGTGTCGGAGTGATGGAGGTTAACAGGTGCTAATGAATTTGCAAGAAATGTAAGATGTTTGTTTTATTGGTTATATATAACCAATAAAAGTTTAATAAGTACCTACCTATTTGCAAAATAAAGTTTAATTCTTTAGATAAAATAAAACGTTTTATTTTATCTGAAATGAGTGCATTCCACGAAGTAAGGGTTTCAACAATCAAACATTTAATTCTTTAATTCCAGGAATCTACGACAGTAATTGACTAGATAATTATCTTCTAAACTTATTCCACAGAAAATGTGATAGTGGGTTTTTCCAGTTTGTAGGAAGGTCCAAGTGGCGTATTCAAAATTCTTAACAGTTCACTAAAAGTAGGTACTTCAGTTGCAAGGTGCATTGTGTATACTAGTGTTATGGAAAATTTGGAAGTGCCGTGTAAACGCCGAAAAATTGGTCCTTTAACAGTTAATGAAAAAACATTAGTATTTAATTGTTTTAAATTATTTACAGACAAACGTTCATGTGAAAGTGTTGATGAGACCGTTGAGTTAGTTAGCAGTACACTTGGTGTTGGGAAATCTACGATTTACAGAGTTATTAAAGAAGAGAAATGTGGTAGTTTTCAAATGCCACGTAATGCTCCAGGGAAACCAAAATTTCAAATAGAATATCATTTTAAAGAAGGACTTCGACGGAAAGTGCATGAATTCTTCTTTAGACAAGAATTTCCAACATTGGATAAAGTTCTTGTCTCAGTTCGAGATGATGAGGATTACCCAGAAATGAGTCGAAGTACGTTATGGAAACTTTTAAAAGAAATAGGCTTCCGCTGGAAAAAGAATCCCAGAAAGTCTATTTTATTAGAAAGAAGCGATATTGTCATATGGAGAAGACATTTTCTAAGAACCATAAAGGAAATGAGAAACCAAAAAAA